CAATCGGCCCTGCTCTGAGCCCGACCAGGGGCTGCACCTAGGGATTGGGCGTGCCCTCTGCCACCCGGGAGCAGGCCTAAGCCAGCAGGTTGTTATCTCCTGAGGGATCCCAGACTGCGAGAGGGCACAGGCCAGGCTGGGAGAACCCCCCTCCCCCTCCCCCCGAGTGCAAAAATTTTTGTGCACCGGGCCTCTAGTATTTATATAAAATTGTGTAAAACAATGCATACAGTTGATCCTCTGCATTATATATCATCTTTGGTCTGCCCCAGAAAGAATCTTTGAAGGAAACCCGTCCATATAGATGTTGTTCAAGTATCAATCAACTGTGTGTTTGCAAGGCTTGAGAGGTATTCCCAGTTTAACTTTGAAGGTTTGATGAATCTTTTCAGAAATGGAATATAAGACAATACCACACTGTTAGACTGTGAAAGAGAAGAAAGAAACAAAGTAGTACCAATAAAAAAAATAGAGAATTAAAAAAATTCTGTATAATATGGTGTATACTTAAATATTTTTAAATATATAATAAAACCAAGCAAAGGAGCGATAGTAATGAAGAAAAATAATTAATGGAGTAAGAACTGTGAAGAAGCATCCCAGGGAACCTTTATTTTAAAAAAAATTTTTTTTATTGATTTCAGAGAGAAAGGGAAAGAGAGAAATATCAATAATGAGAGAAAATCATTATTTGGTTGCCAATCTTCATCTGCCCTCTACTGCAGATCAAGCCCTAAACCCAGCATGTTCCCTGACCTGGTATTGAGTCGTGTCTTCCTGGTTCAAAGGTGGACACTCAGCCACTGAGTCATATCAGTTTGGCTAGCCTTGCACCCATAAGAGAGTTTGATTTAATAGGGAAAGAGACCAGGAACATAGGGTCAGGGTGAACAGAAGGGCTTGCAAATATTCAAGACATTTGAGGTATGAGGCAACAAGTTTGTTGAATACTTTCCTGATGAGATTAAGGAAATAATGGAAGTTTGACATTCTGTTTAGCGTGCGAGTATGTAATCCCTTTGATCTTCTATCTGTGCAGGAGTATGTGGCCCTTAGGGAGGTGATGATCAAAGCTGAATATCAGAAGTTTCATCTATTTCTCTGTGAGGCGGAGGGCCTCCATCTGGACAAAATGGAGAGAGAAGCAAAGGAGATCTTCCAACAACTGCAGGAAAGCAAAGTCAGAATGACCCAATGGACAGAAAGCCTCAAAGAGCTGTTTAGAGAGCAGATGGACATGTGCCACAAGCCAGATGTGGAGATGCTCTAGGTGAGAGGGGAGGGTCCATCAATAAAGACAGGAATCCTTTTCTGGACAATGTGACTATGATGCCTGCATACACCATTACCCTCAGCTAAGTGATTACGCTCCTGGACTCCCATCATCATGTCTGTCCCTCAGTCACTTATTTTCTTGTATCCTGGTAATCTTTGGGAGCTCTTTGTCTAAGTAGCTGACATAGGATGAAGTGATTTCAGTGTAATCTGAAGCACCACCTCCACAGATAAGATTGTCCAAATTTAATCAGTCTCTGAGAAGGGGAACATTAAGTTTGCTGTGGTGATTTTTTATGTACACTAGAGGCCTGATGCATGAAATTCGTGCAAGAGTAGGCCTTCCTTCCCCCAGCTGCAGGCACTGGCTTCCCTCTGGCACCGGGGACTCAGGCTTCCCTCACAGCCCAGGCTTCATCTGGAAGGACGGAAGGACATCCAGTCTAATTAGCATATTGTATTTTTATTATTATAGATTCCCTTAATCCACAGTTACTCTGTTATTACCACAAAAGCAGCTTGCTAAAGACATTGAGGTTTTGAGCCTTGCCTAGGCAGGATTTCTAGAATTTGGCAATCAATTTTAAAGCTCTCTCTATTTTTCATTGGATGCCATGTTTTGCTTTCATTGTTATAAATAGTCAGATCTCTCTTTGGGAATAACACTTGGAAATGAGTGACATTGGAAACCTAGACCTAGTTTCATCACTTCACTTCTCTGCATGACCTCCTTCCATCCTCAGGACACCTTGAGAAAGCTCTGCATGTTTTCACTTAAGTGATTTTATTATGGTGGCCTCTGATTGTTCCTTAAACGGGGAATAGGGAAAAGTATATTATTAAAACAAACTCTAGAAAAATATATAAAAGGACACAATTTGCATGTTTACCTTCTTTTTCTGTTTGTTTTGCAGGATTTGGGAACTGTATTGGAAAGGTGAGTTTACACTAATTCTTTCTGAGAAATTTGTTCTTCTGGGTGAGTGAGCTGTACGTGTTTTGAGCTAGAAATCTTTTCCCCTGTAGCTATTTCCCACTTTGTTTTTCAAAAATGGTCCTGAGGCCTTCTTGTCTCAGGAGTTTTCTTCTGAT